TGTGCAGTACAAATGACAACAACGGATACAAGATTGTGCAAAAGAGGATGGACAATGCATCTCGCAACTTCGTCTTTATCGGAGAGGGAGATGGCAGCACTAGCGCATATCATTCGCGAATATGGGAATAGGTACCCCGTTGTCAGCACACAAGATGCGCACAATAACGAAGTGTTGCAACTCACTCGCAGCGATTTCCTTTTACTCGCCGTTGAACAACAGTGGTTAAACGACAACGTGATCAACTTTTATCTGAACCTCGTAGCATTAGACAAATGTTTTAGAATACAGCACGTAGAATGCGACGCGGATAATGAGATAGTCATTAGAGAAGGAAACGGTCGCATTTCCAGAGTATCAGTGTTGAGCTCGTTTTTTTTCCTCAAACTTTTCGATAATGACATGAGATATAGAGGCCGAGAGGTAGAACGCTGGTACCAGGATGTAATTATAAGTGACATGGATTTGATTATTGCTCCTTTCCATATCGCACACCAGGACCACAGGACCTTGGTCGTGGCTGACTTAAGGAGGAGGAAATTCGAATTTTACGACCCCCTCGACCCCGACAAGGAGTTCGCGTTAAAAGTGACCGGCGGGTTTGCAAAGTTTTTATTCAAAAGATCGAAAGTGCAAGGCAAAGAGGTGGACACGAGACCATTCAATCACATATGGAATATAGAGGGCATTCCAAAGCAACATGACACAACGAATGTGGGGTCTTTGTACTCACGTACGCGTCACTTTTGGCACGGGGCCAACTTCCGCCTTTCTGTTTCACCGCAGATGACATACCAACGATACATCGTCGGATGGCATTGGACCTAGTGGCTCGTGAGTAGTGCGTATTGTGATATTCTATAGTATCATTGCGAAGGGGGCGAACGTGGTTGGCACGGAATGGCGCTTGACAAAAAACAATGTATATAAGGTGTTAATTTTTTTTCGGTGCACTGTGTCACTTGCCCTTGCATGGTACCTTACACCTTACACCTTACCCCATACACCTTACACCTTACCCCCCTACACCTTACACCTTACCCCTTACACCTTACCCCTTACACCTTACCCCTTACACCTTACCCCTTACACCTTACCCCTTACACCTTACCCCTTATACCTTACCCCTTATACCTTACCCCTTTTCCCTCACACCAAAACGCCCATTTGTAATGGTTTTTGCACTTCAATCATCTCAAAAATAACAATTTCAATTTCGTTCAAAAAATATAAAATGTCCGTTTTGACGAAATCGCTGTTCATAGGTGAGGTAATCGTCTGCGTCTTGCTTCTCCAAGTCTTGTTATTCATGTCGTTCATGTCGCTCATGTCGTTCGCTCCTTGGATGTCGTTTTCAAGGTTCTGTGGTTGTATCAGTTTGCAGCAGCTGGACCTTTAAACCCTACACCTCACCCTTTTTTTCTTACCTTGCATCCATACTCCATCTGCGGTCTTTGCATGTTAGGTCCTCGTTGTTACGGTCTCATACCCTGGGGGACGAGAGTGGGGGGGGGGGGGGGGGGGAGGGGGGGGGGGGGGAGGGGGGGGGGGGGGGGGGGGGGGGAGAGAGAGAGAGAGGGAGAGAAGAGTTGCAGCTTCAGGCTACCATGCATCTTTCATCACGAGAGACGATGGTGGATGGGTGTGCATAAAGTAGGAGGAAGACTATGAAGGGTGGGCGGCTCCGGTCTACAAGTGTGAGCATGGGTGCTTTCGGAAGGTGCGAGGTGGGTGGGGGGGGGGGGGTGGGGCGGGAGGAGGAGGGGGGAGAAGGGGGGTGGAAGAGCAGGGTGGGTTGGTAGGGTTAGCAGAGTGAGTTGCGGGGTCGGCGGTTGGCAGGGAGGGCCAACTAGCGGGGTACAATAATGAAGTTGGGTTGCAGGTACGGGACCTGGAAGCAGTGGAAGGGTTGCCTTTGCCAAGCCTGTTCTGTCATCCTCCACGATTTCCATTAGATGTTGAGGCCAACATTTAGCTTTGCAAAGATATGGTGCGGGTCTTGCCAAAGTTGGATATAAGTCTCCCGCAAAAGTATCTTGGTTGCAGGCTCCTTTTCTTCTTCGTACTCTCGTCTAAAGGATTTTCATGCGTCGTATGTACGGGACCTAATTTCTTCTTGAATTTCCTGTTGGCCTCGCTGCAATCCTAGTTCATGGTCCCTTCTTTCATGGGAGCATATAGTTCTCCATGCCAACATAAGGACTGGCAGCCTCATATAGAGAAAGAGGTTAGTTGCGAAGGGGGACCATTGTGCTAGCAAGTGCTGGTTCTCCTCCAGCAGCAACATCCCGAGATCCCATGGGATATGTTGGGCTGTGAGGGAATGAAAGGCCACGTCCCACCATTGCCACAATTGGGTGACCATGAGGCATGCCAGCAGACAATGCTCCATCGTGGCCTGAGCTGGTGGCATCGCCTGCCACAATACGTACAGATGGGGAATAGCAGGCCTCTCTGCTCAAGGTCCATCCTTGAAACTAGCCAGTCAGGGGTAGGGAGGCATCGGTGTAGGATCTGCCATTCCAGAGCTCTGAGGTTTGTCGACATAATTTTAGAGACTTTCGACCAGGGCAGGTTTTCCATCATTCGCGGGTCCATAGGCCGGTCACGTGCCCACCTTTGGGCTAGTGTCTGATAAATTGGCAGTGTGGGATGTGCGGCTTTGTAGCCCCCTGTGACTGTGTAATCCCAGATATGAAGAGGTTTGGGGCCCGACCACTCCCACTCCCCTGGGTCAAACGGGAGTTTGGCAACCAGGATTGCAGGCTCGTAAACAAACATGTCGTCTTGGGAGTCACCAACCACCCTTACTTACATGAGGCCTCCCCAGTTTTCTTTGCGATCTAGGTTGTCTTTTCGTGCCGATATGGCAAATCAGGCACCTATCAGGTGGGGTTTGTACGCCTCCAACAGGCACTGCCCCTCATGGTTAGCTGTCACTTTGTATATGACGGTCGGGGTGGGAAGATCGGAGTATCTCACTACCCAATCCCCTTGTTTAACTATGGGACTGTTCTTGAGGGTGAACCTCTTGGCTAGAGCCAAGGCCTCCCTGAGTTTGAACGCCTTTTCCCCCACATTCTTTGCATATTTTAGGCGCCTTTGGAGCTGCTCCGTTGTGGCCAAATCTGCTGCTACCGGGTCCCACAGGTCCCCCACCGTAAATATCTCTTTTTTTGCCCATGTTAGCCAGGGGGAGTTTGTTGTGAGTGTGAAGGGGCCACCCTCCTCATCCAAGATGTAGGGGTTGCCAAACAACGGCTGCCTCCAGATTTCTTGCCAGCTGTTGGGGGGCCGTTTCCGCTGCGCACCACATGTTCTCCAGAGTTTGAGCATATTGGTCAGAGAGGGTCGTGGATCAAATCCAGTCTGGCTGTTTGTCGTACGTCGTCGGCTTGTCTGTTTTGTGGGGGAGAGGAGATTGTCCAATGTCTGTTAATGAGCCATCGGTAGGGATGTATGTCGCAGTTCGCGGCCAATTCAGGGGCAAGTGCAGCTATCTGCAAGGCAGCTAGAGGCGCCCATGGGATATTTTTACCCATGAGTAATCTAGTTAAGACCTTGAAAAATGGTGCCTCACTCTCCCTCTCCGGGTCGAGTATCCCCAATCCCCCTTTGGTTCTTGGCTACGTGAGGACATCCCATCTTACCCTGGACAAACATCTTTCAAATTTGGCCTTGTTCTTCCAAAGATACGTTGTGAGCGCTGTTTTTAGTCTGGCATACTGAGGAGGCTTTAGTGACCAGACTGCAAGCTTCAAGTTGTACCAGATGACCGCTAGAACAGCGTTATTGATTGCTAAGGCCTAAGGCTTCCTACGAGCGAGGTATGCAGTCCCTCCCATTTCGCTGGTCGGTCAATTGCCAAGTTCACCAATACCTCTCCGTGATTAGGCGGGGGTCCAAGTGCAGTTAGCCTCACCCCTAAGATTCTAATAGCTTTGTCCTCATGTGCCCATGCGACAGCCGGCTGAGGTGGCGGTGGTTGGCCTTGGGGGTGGAGCCACCAGCCTTCTGTCTTAGAACCCCAGTTAACCTTCATATCGGCAGCCAGTGAGAAGGTATGTATGACATGTGCAAGAGCTCGTATGCTGTCATCGTCCGCCCTGATGAGAACTGTAAGATCATCAGCAAAGAGCGAGGTCACCGGGATGAGATGGTGAGGAATGTCTAGGATAGGTACTTTGCTAATCTTGGGGTGGGATCTGATCAAAGCGGCTAGGGCCTCCATAATGATCATGAAGAGCAATGGGGCGATCGGGTCGCCTTGTCGTACTAACCTTTGCAGGTGTATTGGCGGTGAGAGATGGTCATTAAGCATAATGTTATTAGTGGCTGTTTGGCAGAAAGTCGGGTCAAAATTCATTTTAAGCAGACACATGTCTAGGAATTCTCAATCGACATGATCGTATGCTTTTTCAAAGTATATAAACATGATGGCTGTTGGGACTTTCCTCTAGCACGCGTACTCTATAGTCTCATTAACTAACATGATACTGTCTTGGATGTTGCGGTTAGGCATGAATCATGTTTGGTCCGGGTGTATGAATACATTTATATGTGGCAGCAAGCGTTTCGTCAGTGCCTTCGCCACTATTTTGTAGGGCAAAGGGAGGAGCGTGATGGGCCTGTAATTTCGGATGTCCTCCCTATCTCCTTTTTTAAAGGAGCGTGGTGATCCCTTGGCCGATCATGCCCCCAAAAGACCCCTCCCTCTGGACTGACGGAGTGTATTCCAGGAGGTCGTCTCCAAACATGTAAAAAAAACGCACCCAAAATTCCTTAAGGAAGGAGTCTATACCCGGGGTCTTTTCATCCTCCATGTCATGTAGTGCCTCCTGGAGTTCTTGTTGAGTGAGAGGCCTGTCTATTTCCTCCTTCTGTTCATGTGTGAGGCGAGAACACAATGCATTGAAGATGACTTCCCTAGCGTTATTGACTTCAACCTGGTTCTTCATGGCTGTTTGGGAGGTAAACAACTTCTTATAGTATTGGGATGCTAATCTGCGATAGAGTACGCATTGGTGGCCGTCGGGGCCTCGCTGTCCAAGGGATGTCTAAGCCTGGGTACCGTGTTGCTATGCAACCGTATGAGCGCGTGTAAGCATGAGCGCGCGCGCTTTATCTTCCCCCCGAGCTTAAAGCGCTCAAAGCGCTTTCAAAAAGAAAAAGAAAAAAGAAAAAAAAAGCGAAAAAAACGGAAAAAAAAAACAAACAAAAAAAACAAACAAACCGTGTGCACCTGAGGGGGTTGCACAAGTGC